TATAACGTAACGAGACGTTTTATAACGTAACGAGACGTTATATAACGTAACGAGACGTTATATAACGTAACGAGACGTTATATAACGTAACGAGGCGTTATATAACATAACGAGACGTTATATAACGTAACGAGGCGTTATATAACGTAACGAGGCGTTATATAACGTAACGAGACGTTATATGACGTAACGAGGCGTTATATAACGTAACGAGACGTTATATAACGTAACGGGACGTTCTATAGCGTAACGTTCATAACGTTCTATAACGTAACGAAACGATCAGTAGCGTACGAGACGATCAATAACGTAACGAACCGTTAAATAACGTCATGAAACGATCAATAACGTAACGAAGTGTTTTAACGTAACGAAACGTTTTAACGTAATGAATTCTTATAACGTAACGAAAAGTTATAACGTAAGGAAACGTTATATAACATAACGAAATGTTGTATACCGTAACGCAGCTTTCCGTTGCATAACGTAACGTAATGTATCTCTAAAAATCTGAAAATCTATTCATTAGAGAGCATACAAAATAATTATTATTTATTCTTTATTTTATCTAATTTATGAAGACTACAAGCTATCGCACAGCTATTGTAAGCCAGCATACCCAAAAATATGATTTAAAAGGTTGAACTATTGCCACAGCATCAATGTACACACATTAAGAGATATTAGCTAACTATTCACGTCCACTTTGTGTTCTTGTACAAAAGATAGGCATACACGCACACACACTCACACACAGTTTATTGTGTCGTGCATAATCTACCTTCCGCAATACACCTTTATTTTTCCGTGTCTCGCTTTGCCCCTTTATCGTACATCTTTTGTGCTAACAGCTTCATATAGCAAAACAAATGACTTAAGACACAAACTAGCTGCAATTGACCCCCAAAAAGCAGCACTTAACGGTAACTCGCTAGCTGACTGACTGGGCTGCCTGTGTGTGTATGTGTGTGTGTGTGACCTTCAGCAAACAAAATTCACTTATATATTTTTGTTCGTTTTTCATAACAACAACAACAACAACAACAATTTTCACACACAACTCCGAAGTGCTGCCAAGTGCGTTTGTCCATTTACATAATTGTCACACGGACTGTTGCCGCTTGATGTCTGTGCCATTAACTAACTGCAGCGACTGTTGCTAGTGACAGCAGCAGCAGCAGCAACAACAACAACAACAACTATAGCAGCAGTAGTATTTCAATTTGCTTTGCTGTTGTTGCTCTTCAAAATGTAATTAACCTCAAGCTGGATCGTTTTTTTTTTTTCTCTTTTTCGTTTCGACCTTTTTTTGCGTCATTTTAAGAACTGCGACGACTACTTCAAGTAATTAAGCAAAGCTAAAAGTTCATGTTAATTGTCCAGCACGACAAAACTACAGCAGGTACATACACACACACACTTACACACACACACACAATTATGCCCCGAAAAGGTCAAAGACTAAAAGAATTGTCAAGCGTGGACAGGCCAGGGCCTGATATGAGTACCGGGGGCAAGGCAAAAAGACAGAATAGAGTGCTTCGTTGAATGTATTGTGGAGAGTGGGGACCGGCAAGGGGGAGGGGGAGCTCAAAGTGAGGGTACCGGAGGGAGTCCACAATCTGAAGTTGAGTCATTGAGTCGGGCCGCTTTTGTTGGTTTGTTGGGTTCTGTCGCACGGCGGAAGCAACGAACGACAAATTTTTATTTAGTTGCTTTTTTTTTTTTTCGTTTGCTTTGTTATTGCGCTACCCAATCTGGCTCCTCCCCTCTGACTCTTGCTCTCTCTCTTTCTTTCTTTCTCTCTAGCACGCACGCTTTTTCTATAGCTCACTCGCTTGCTCTCACCTGTTTTTATTTTATTATTATTTTAGCAAAATGCCGTTAGTTTTGTGCGAACACGCGGTGTGAATGATACTTTAATTACATGAAGGCAACAAAAACAAAGTCAGAGAGAGAGAGAGAGAGAGAGAGAGAGAGAAAGAGAGATAGAGGGAGAGAGAAAAAAGAACTTGAATCATAATAAAAATTAAACATGCACAGATTTTGGCTAAGTGGTCGGAGAGAGAGAGAGAGAGAGAGAGAGAGGTATGGTTGCCGGGAAATGTAGAGGAATACAGAGAGAGAGAAAGATAGGAAGTAAGTATAGATAGCTCTCTAGATGCTTCTGTTGAAAACGTAAACAAAACAGAGATCAAAGCTAAGCAACAAATTTCAATTGAGCAAATGTTAAAAGAACAATAAAAAACATTGGAAATTTCGACCTAATTTAAAGATAGCTTAAGTTCGAACGTGGATAAAACAATGAAAAGGCTATTAAGAAGGCAACTGATGCACTTGTTTGAGTATAAATACAAATGATATGAAATGAAATGAAATAAGAATCTTTTAAAGAGGGAAAATAATATTTTCTAAAAAGAATCAATTTTAACAAAAAACGAAATTTTTTAAAATGCATCTTAACCTATATTTTAAATTTGGAGGCTCTAGCTTTAAAGATGTGGGAGATATAATTTTACAACTGATTTTCGATACGATTTTTTATCGATAAGAAAATATCGGAGTGAGTTATCGATTAAAAATTTAAGTCTCTAACTCTTATATCTTATGTTCTTTCTGATTAAGAATATATATACTTTGTGAGGTTCGCCACGGCTCCTTCCTGATTTCCCATTTTCAATGGGTTCAGGGTACAAAAAGCGAATCGTTAACGAATCGAGTCTTGATTAGGCTTCTGATCAAGCCCTTTATTTGCGAGCAGAGCCGTGCAAGGCTGCAGTAAGTGAGAGAATAGATTTAAAACATTCAAATATTGTAACGGTTGTGTTTCGATTTTGATTATAGCGCGGCAGCCTCCCAAACATACTGATGTTCCAATTGGAGCGACACGCACCGAACAGAGAGCTAATGCTCTTTCTCATTGCGTTTAACGTTCCTGGCCACATTGTGATGCAGCTCCTGTCGCAGTTCGCCGTCGTAGAACTTGAGTCCGGCAAAGTGTTCGATGTCACGGATATTGGACATGAATGCACTTAGCTCAACATTGTTTTCGATTTCGGTATTTGGTACAACATAACCCTCCATATAGGGTAGAAATTCCTGATCCTTGCACTCGGCAATTATCACCTTGAAGAAGTGTGTCGGCACGGCCACCGTATTCATGCCAATCACCTGATGCCTGATCGCCCAATTGCGAAAGGTGATGCGCTGTGGCATAAACAGTGGACCCGTATAGACATATACCGAGCCGCATTTGACAGCCAGCTCGCGTACGTAGTCCTCCAGGCGTGACCATATTCTCGTCTTTAGCCCATTGTTCAACGGCGCTATATTTGGCATTATGAACGTCTCAACATATTTCTGCTCATCGCAGCAGTAGTTTAGCGGCGACGCCATTTGAGTGGCCACCCAATCGGTATTCTTATAGTCGCGGTGAGCGGCGCGAAAGATAACCGGTATCTGGGAATCGACTACATAATCTGTTGGTATTGGCATTGTATCAGAATCGGGGTTGCTCAGACATTCGCTCTCCAGATGCTCGCATACCCAGTGAGCGATTCGATTACGTCTATCATAAGATAGCACAAAATTACGATAAACATGTATATCATCAAGACCGGGAAACCCGTACTTCATCAGGGTTGCAACATGGGTGGGTTCTGGCTCCGCCACCGGCTCATTGCCCGACGAGAAGGTGAAGAACATGGTCTACGTGGGCAATTCAAAGAGCTTTAAATAATGATCTTATATAATGATCCAATGATGAACTCTGGACAGCTTACCACAGTGTTCATGTTGGCCTGAAACCATTTAATATAGTTGGCAAATACGGACTCAGAGTCTCCTGATAGTCTTCGAATTGGATGTTCTCCTTCCGGCCTCTCAACTGCGGCATAATCAATGGAGTCGAAGGAGTCGTTGTCGGTCGCTTGAAGTGGATGAACGACCAATCTCAACTAGCTCCATCGATCATCGATTAATATCGATAAGGGTACGAATTTGCATATACTACTTACTGCTTGAAAGATTCGCTGGCGACTCTGAAAGATGTAGGGATCGCTTTCCATTGACGATTGCAGATTGCGATAGGTGCTATCCTGTTGTATGACTGCGCCGGCCAAAAACCCCAACAAGCCGGTCAGTACAGCCAGTGATATGGGCAGTGTTAATGGCAGCATTACCACTTGGTGTTACGACATCAACATAAAGAATGTGGATCGATCGGACTGGCTCAAGATTCTGTTGGGAGGCTGCAGAGTGCAAGTTTTCCAAAATTGTACTATAGAAATGCTCTGTGCCAACCCCCCAAGTAGTTACGTCATATTTATAACTTGTTTATCCCAATTTCTAGCGAACCGATGTGAAGCAAAAATCAAATGTAACTGAGTATAGAATAGCTTAAATTTGATTTGAAATATTTGGTATGTGGACGATGGTTAAAGCTGAAATTAATATTATGCGGGAAAATAACTATTTGGGCAATGTGAGCAGGTAAGGTTCTCAAGGAACTCTGAAACTACTAAGGCTAGAATTGAATAATTTCATGTGTGGACTTTACTTCAGTCAGGAAACTGAATTCTTACTAGAGGCATGGGGAAATGACTATCTTATAATCTAACGTGGTCGAGTTCTCTACGAACTCAGGAATTATTGAAGCTAGGAGGGGAAAATTTTGTATGGAAACATTACATAAATATACAATTTAATATATATAATATACAATATAATATAAGTTCTATTCTAAGAAACTCAGTAATAATTCCATCTACAGTCAGTACTTAAACTACAAAGCCATGTGTAAATTTAGAATTTGCAAAATATTATATACATAAATACTATATAAGACCTTAGTTTGCAGCTAGGCGTTTTCCAGCTATGCTCTAATGCCAGAGTTTATTTACGAACAAAACCAACAGCAACATTTGTGGCCCGCCCCGTTGGGCAAACCTTCCCCATTGACCCTCACCCAAATTGTGAGAGCCGTTCAGCCCTGGCACGCAAAACTATCGCAGCAGACGCTAGTCTAACTGCCCAGTTAACAACAGTAATGCATATGTATGCATGGATGTACAGACATTTATTAATATGCGAATGCAATGAAACAAAATATATAGCTCTGTACTATACATATATAAAAATACAAATATATAGAAGCATATACGTATATATACATACATATATAGGTTACCCAACAGCCGCCATCAGCCATGAGAAGCACGAGAATTTCGCATAAATTTATTTTTCAGACAGAGTCAAAGAAGAAGCTAAATAAAAGCAAGTGCGCGCTACAAAGCTAATGCGCTGCGCGTTAGGAACTTGGAAGAGACCTCTTAATACACTCGCTGGCTGGCCAAGCGTACAGAATTTATGTGAGCTCTGCGAGCATTTTGAGTGCCCAGCAACGACCCCTCAGCTGATGGCTATCTCAATAAACTTACATATATGAAATGCTGGCATACGCTTCTGCCTGCTAAAGTTCATGTTAAAGTTAACATTAACATGCATTTTGGTTTGCGCTTTAAAGTGAGAACTTGCATTGATAAAGAAATCGTAAATTCGAGTTCATCTAGGGTGTCAAATAATGTTGGGTAAGAGGTAGGAGAAGGAGCTATGAATGAGCAATTGAATGCTCATGTTAAAGTTAACATCAGCATGGTGGGAACTGTGCTTAAGCTGCTCTATATGGTAGAAATTTTGATAAATAAACTAAGGTATTTTAATTACTCTTTAAATTAAATATTTATAATTAAAGAAACAGGAAGACTTTTACAACAGCGTTGCCACACTTTTATTCTGATTATGTGGCATTTTATTAAAGTTCCATAATATATTATCTATCTCACAGCTATCATTAAGGCTCTAGGTAAGTTGAGTTCAATGTGCTCCATTTGACATAATCAATGGACTTCAGCTCTAAAAAGTTTACCAATCAAACAGAATTGAATGCAGGTGGCAACTTTTCCAGTTGAAAATTGAAAGGAAAGAAAGATAAACCCATGAAATAATGGCTAGAAAAGAAAGCAAATTCTTATTAATTTCACAAGTTAAACACAATTTTGTCTTAGTTTCTCAGGATATTACCAGATCTGCAATGTACAGCCAGCTGGCAACGCAGAGTTGGAGTTCAGAGCAACTAGAGTGACTTGAACTGCGAAAGGGTATTTGAGTATTGTTAATAAATCGTAGAAATAGGATAGTCAGTGTGATTTTCGTGTGAGAATAACCGCAATTGTGGTAAGCCACAGACGAATTAGGCGGAAGCCGCAGTAAGCGACAAAAAAAGCCTTTAAAAAATACAAATTTAAACTAGAACCCACCAAAAAAGAAAAAAGTATAAAGAAAACGAGAAGGAGAAGACGCATTGAAAACTCAAACGAAAGAGTTCGAAACCAGCTGTAAATAGTCGTCAGAGCATTTTTGTGACGTTTTATTGTTTCCGATAAAGAAACCAAGTTTTGAACTATGATGCGAATTGATGATCGGCATATCACTAGAGAGTAGAACAACAAAGATGAAGAAGCGGAGGTAGATATATGTATGTATATCGAGGCAGTTGCCCCAAACCGGTGACAAGTCGTAAAAGCAAACAAACCGACAACAAGTGGCAAAACTCATTTGACTTCCGAACTTTCAAACATCGATTTTCGTTGTTGTTGCTGCTGTTGTTGTTGTAGTTTTGTAGCTACCCATAGCCATTATCATTATTCATCCCGGTTAGCCCACACCCTGTATTCTGTATTTGATAATGAGCTAAGGCGACAAATTATGTGCATGCCATACAAGCTTAGCTGTCGATCGATTGAATTGGGATCGATTCGATAGATTCGAACGAAGAACGTAACAAACAAAAGCAACAGGGGGGCCCACGTTTTGAGTTCCGAGTTCCGAATTGCATATGCGTAGGCATATCGTCCATATATGTACATATGCATATAGATTTGATCACGCCCAAGGATTGTATCAATGCAACACGCTGACTGGGTGGCATACGATGACAGTGGGCCGTAAGCCGATAAACTCTAAATGCTGTTTTGTTCAACAGTTGAGCTGTTAATGGAACCTCTTCGCCTCCACAAAGCTCAAATGGGCTAAACGAGAGCTACCAACAGAATAGACTGCTTAGCGTATGAATTACTCTGATTGCATACAAATTGGGATCGAAAATGTTTAATGAGCTCCATATGGAGCACCACTATTTGATGAGCTCTATTCAATCTAGATTTCACCCATGTTGAACCTTAACTAGTTGTGAATCATAAGGCGTTTATTGTTCTTACGCCTTGCAGTACATTAGTGTTCTTCGATCGGGCTTTATTAGCCAGTTTTTGCCTTATCAAATATTGAGTAAAGCCCTAAGGATCGATCTATGCTGGTTTTCGATTGAATATGCTGAAAATCCCAATGAATCGAGAGATCCTGGCTGATATCCTTTCCGCCCTTTGACAAATGAAACAAAGTTGGGAACAAAGTAGGCTTCGAATCGCAGCATTACATTTTGTTTTACAAATGGCACAAAATTTGGATCAAAGTAGGTTTCAAATTGTGAAAAAGTCGATGAGCGCTGGAGCCTAAAATATTTCGTCAGTAAGCACAGCTCTATCGAGGAGTAAACATTAAAAAACAAAATTTCTAAATTTTTTTGGAAATACATATATTTACAATTTTTGTGAAAATCGAAATATATTTTACAATCGTATATTCAAACGGAAAAAAACGAAACTCAAGATGAAACTACGTAGCGGTCGTGAAATTTCCACCAAAGATGATGAAGTCGCTGCTGCTAACGGTGAGTCTAGCAATCCTAATGCGTCGAAACGTCGTCGCTCTCGCGCTGCTAGGGGAGCCGGTGATGGCGCCACAGCCAATGGATCGTCCGCTGAGCGCGGCCCATCGACTGCCGCCAGTCGTTATCGTAATCGCAAGCGGACTCGCAATACGCCCATGGCCTCTGAGCAGGTACAGTACGGGGGAGGGGGCAGGGGGGAGGGTTGGATAATCTCCACAAAAAATATGTGTACCCTACTGTCATTGCAGAAAGCTGAGCCCAACATCGGGGCTGCGAGTACAGCTAATGCGGCTCTCGCAGAGCTTAACCAATTGACTGCCGCCATTAGTGGACCCAATCTGCCGATGCCAAGCTCGCTGCCGATGCCAAGTTCGCTGCCGATGCCAAGTGCGCTGCCGATGCCAAATTCGCTGCCGATGCCAAGTTCGCTGCCGATGCCAAGTGCGCTGCCGATGCCAAGTTCGCTGCCGATGCCAAGCTCGCTGCCGATGCCAAGTGCGCTGCCGATGGCAAGTGCGCTGCCGATGGCAGGTCCGCTGCCGATGCCGTTCGTTCACCCACCACCTAATATTCCAGCCACAAACGGAGTGCTGGCTGCCAAATCCTCCATGTCCTTTGTACGTCAGGGTGTCAAATTGTCCGAAAATTAGTTTTTTCATGCAAATATTACTTATGTAAATTCACAGGATATGGACCTAGACGAAGAAACTGTTGAGGAAGAGGACGACGGAAATAAAACTATTGAGGATGACGAGGAAGAAGACGACGATTATGACGGTGAAGGAGAAGACGACGACGATGACGATGACGACGACGACGACGACGACGACGACGGCGATGAGGAGGAGACGGACGATGATGATGATGATGACATCGATGTTTAACATATGGGATGGTTAATTTCTGGATCGCACGGTTGGTTTTATTTTTATGTTTTGCTTGCTTTGGTTTACTTCATAAATTTCTAGTTGCAGTTGTTTCTCTTATTCGTCGAATAACGCATTTCAATATCGACATTATTTCGCTACTATTGTGAATTTGTGGAGGGTGCTCGAACATGTAATATTTTTCAAATTTAAATTTTAATTGTGCAATATCGAATAAAACTGAGATACATCTCTATTATGAAACTATGTTGGCAAACTTATTAAAATTAGCTGAAATTATTGCGTGAAACTTTTTGCTGAAACTCTTGGATGAAATTCTCTGATGAAACTATCCGATGAATCGAACTGATATAACTGTCTAAAGCATCTTCTTGATGGAACTCCTTCATTGATGAGCCTCATTTATATGATGATGATGAACTGATAAAACTGTCTAAAGCATCTTCTTGATGGAGCTCCTTCATTGATGAGGCTTACTTATATGATGTTTGATGAGCGTGCCTGA